ATGGAGAGGGGGAGCGGCTGAGGACTCTAGATTCATCAACTAAGAAGAGAAGGACTAAGAATTGGTGGCCAGGAGCAGACTTGAAGAATGTGCCCTTTGGAGATGTAAATTATATATGCCTGAGTGGGGAAAAAAAAAAGTTATCCAATTGGGCACTTTCCATATACGTAATTTACAGTAGGCCAATTATTCCTCAACAAAGCTGGTTTTAAAATGCAGACAATTTGTCATTTCTACCTCCCAAGGAGGACCAGAGGTGGCATTGAAGAGGGTGGGTGGGAGAAGAGGAGGTTGGGCAGGAAGATAGTGCCAGCCACGGGCCATGTGTTTCTTACCAGTAGGCCGCTCAAATGCATGTCCCAGAGGTGGCGTTGAGCCGTACATGAGGTCAAAAGGACCCCACTCTTTCACCTGCAAGACACGGACACCAGAGAAGACTGTAGATACATTCTACCTGAACAAGAGACTTGTGAGTATTGAGGGTGTTGTCTACTGTGTGGCTGCCTATTGTATGTGTTGTTTGTGTGTGTATTGTCTGGGAAAAAGAAGAGACCTGCTGAACTGTAACAGCTAGGCTGTATGCTCCCTGCTGACTAGAATCAATTCCATAGGACGTCAGTAACCAACTACTCCATGATCATGGAGGACAAAGACAAGACTGCTCCATATCATATCTATATCAACATTCACAGGATAAGGACACTCTTCAACCACAGAGTAACCTAAAACTCCCTCTCCAGGTAATATGAGGGACTCTTATTTCTTTATCTGTGATGACTCCAGTCTACATCCTAGATAAGAATTAATATTGTTAAGTGCCATCGAGTTGGTTCCGACTCATAGACACCTTGTATAGGTTTCCAAGGAGTGGCTGGTGGTTGGTTCAAAATGACCTTGTGGACCAGTGCTTATTCTACAGACGCTGGTAGCGTAGTGGTTACGAATCGGGCTGCTAATCTCAAGGTCAGCGGTTCAAAACTACCAGTTGTTCTGAGGAAGAGAGATGAGGCTTTCTGCTCCCGTAAAGATTTACAGCCTTGGAAACCCTGTACAGGGTCGCTATGAGTCAGAACTGACTCCACGGCACACCACTACCACCACACTAGATGCTACCATTTCCTAACAGCATGCAATCCAGAACAGACACCTTGGACCCTCCCCTAAGTCACTTAACAAAAGCCTAAATGCTGTAAACCCTACCCACATCTCCCTTCCAGCAACCCCACAAGGATGGGCAGAGGTCCTGGTGGGGTGGGAGTAGGGGCTGGGGCGAGGTCTACCAGGATGAAGCTCAGGGTGTGTGGGGCATACCTTCCCATATGGATAGATGTCCTGGGCATCAGAGTGGGCACCCACAGACACAGGCTGCGGGTTAGATGGGGGCAGAGTCAGGAGGCTCTGACAGGTCCCTGACAGTGACTTTGTTCCTGGATGCTGCCCCCTTTCTATGGCTGTGCCCCCTGCTCCCCTTATTCTCTGCTCTCTAGCCCTTCCTAGCCTCCTGCTTCCCTATCTTCCTGCTCCCCCATTTGTGGGCTCCTCTGGCCCTTTTGACCCCTCAAACCTCCTACTCCCCTGTCACCCAGCCCCTCTGCTCTTCCAGGTTCCCCTGTATTCCCCTTCCCCACCAACCATGGTCATTTAATTCCCAGTAGCCCTGCAGTCTCATTCCCCCACTCCAGGATCCCAGGGGCCTTCCTCTTCTCTGGCCTGTCCCCAGGCATAGAACAGTTCCTGATACCAGCATTGCCTCCCGACCCTCTCCATTCCAGCCTCATGAGAGGCCCAGGTCCTTCACCTTCATGGCTGAGGTGTGCCCGAGCACTAACTAGCACATTGTTTGTAGACATCTGGGATCTTGGCAAAGATGACAGCAACAAATGTGTGACTCTGAGATTGCATCACTTCCTTTCTAAATTGAAGGAGGTTCTCAGCTATCTCATTCATTGGAGGGTCAGCATTTTCTTGTTAGAGGAGGAATGAGGATATAATCCCTCTGACTGGGCAGCTCCCATTTTAATACCAGCTGCTGTTCAAGTTGTAGTGAACTCATGGTAACCTCATGTGTGGTGGAAATTGGATTCCAAGATGTTGGATAAGGAGTCCTGTCCAGAAAACATCTGCAAACATGGGAACCACAAGAATGTGTACCCTACTCTACTGTAAGGTGTCCTTGATGATTGTCCAGTACCGCTGCTCTGTGCCTACCACCATGTTGGTACCAAGGCCACACATGCAGTGCTGATCCCAGCCAAAAACTTTGCAGAAGGGAGCTCATTCCCAGCACTCTCCTCTGCTTCCTTCCTCATGTCTCCCCCAGTGAGACTCTTGCACACCCAAGCCGTGTCCCAGTATCTGACCCAGCGTAGACAGCACTCACGTCTTTCCTCACTATGTTGGTGACATCATCCAGGTGTTTCAGATATCCATGGTCAGAACCACCTTCCAAAAAGCCCAAGCTCACGAGCTCTGGATGGGGAGAAAGAAGGACGTGCAGAGGCTAATGTTAACTTTGACCCAGTAGGAAATACAAGGGGGTAGTGATTTATCGGGAATGCACAGACTTGAAAACTCTATGGAACACACAGTTCTCCCCTGCACACATGGGGTCTCCATGAGTAGGAATCGACTTTACAACAACTACACAGCAACAACATAACAATTCACTGTTAGATGAGTGAGTGCTACTTTCTTTTCTTAATGGGAAGATGAGGATATTGATCACACTGTATGCCACATTGTTAGTGAAACATGCCAATTTCAACTTGACTTGAGAAAGTCAAGCCTATGGATTGCAAGGTGTCCCTGGATGATGCAAAGGTTAACACACTCATCTGTTAACTGAAAGATTGTTGGTGCCTCAGAAGAAGCGCCTAGCAATCCGTATCTGAGAAATCAGCCATTGAAAACCCCAGGGGGTCACCATGAGTCCAAACTGACTCAACAGCAGCCAACAATAACAATGTTGTTGGGTCATCGGTGGTCATCGGTGGCTCAGCGGTAGGAGTCTCTCCTCCCATGCAGGACATACAGGTTCAATCCCCAGCCAGCGCACCTCATGTGCAACAGCCACCACGTGTCTGTCACTGGAGGCTTGCATGTGGCTGTGATGCTCAACAGGTTTGAAGAGAGCTTCCAGACTGAGATGGAGCAGGAAGAAAGGACTGGAAATCCACTTTCAAAAATCAGCCAATGAAAACGCTACAAATCACAATGATCTCATCTCCAATCCATTCTGAGGATGGTGAAGGAGCAGGTGACATTTTGTTCTGCTGTGCACAGGGTCATCTGAGTTGAGGGTCAAGTCCATGGCAATTAGCAACAGCTTCTGGTGCTCCTGGGCTGCCATGCCACACAAGTGTTTGCAACCATGTGGGGCAGTGAAATCCATGCAGATGTCCCCAAGCAGGCAGTGTGACAGGCAAGTGTGGGTTGTGGGGGATCAGAGCCTAAATTTTAGAGGAGGTCATGTTCTGGTGGACAGGAAGACAGGGACAGGCCTCACAAAATGGTGTCAGAGAAGCACGGTATCAGATGGGAAAACAAAGGCCATGGCAACCACGTGGTCCTGAGCACTACTGGTTCCTTTAGCCCCATGCCTAGCAGCTACCTTGGATAAGCTGACCCTTTCAGTCCATACTATGGGGATACTACCACTAATCCTATCTGCCTATGGGGTTGTTGTGAAGACTCAACCCAGAGCACCAGCCAGTGCTCAGAGTGGGAGCTATTCCCTGACCCAATTTGTTCAGAGACTAAGGAGTGTCTTCATGGATTCTTACTATTCCTGTTGGACTCAGAAGAATGATGAGTGTTGTGGGTTGATGTGTATGCCCTACATATTTATAAGTCCTAACCCTCCTGTGAGGATGATCTTGTTTGGAAAATCGGGTCTTTGAAGATGTTATTAGTTAACATGCGATCATACTGGAGTCGGGTAGGTCCTAATCATATGGGAATGGTGTCCTTATAAAAGAGGAGAAGAGACAGGGAGAATGCCATATGAGGATAGAGGCAGAGGTGGACCAAGGAGCACCTGGAGCCACCAGAAGCCAGAAGAGAGGTATGCAACCCATTCTTCCTCAGTCTCAGAAGGAGTCATATAGGCCAATATCAGCCTCCAGCACTTTGAGACAGCACATTTGCATTGTTCCAAGTCACTCACTTTGTGGTAATTTACTGGTAGTGTAGTGGTTACAAATCGGGCTGTGAACCGCAAGTTCAGCAGTTCGAAACTACCAGCTGCTCCACGGGAGAAAGATGAGGCTTTCTGCTCCCGTAAAGATTTACAGCCTCGGAAAC